CCATGCTTATTAACTTAGTTTTCCCTTTGAGAGGAGTTAGGAAAGTTTCACAAACCTTCGAGAAACTTATGAAGAACTGGCGGGTTTCATCACGATGTCTTTGAATGCGTGTGTTTGTACTACTTGTTTTCATTGCTTTTAATAAGCTCCCTGCTATTAAAATATTTTCGGTAATTATATCTTACCGATTTAAAAAAGGAATAAATTTCTCTATTCGATTGTGTTTGTTTTTATATTTGCTACCTAAGAACTTCCTCATTTATAAAGCGATTTGGAAAAATCTATTTTTGGATTTGGGAGGGTATAATTTTCGTTTGGTCAAAATCAAATACAAGACGGCAATACTTTTTTAATACTTAATTATCTCAATGATAACATTTATTATTTTTATAGTCTATTATAGTATATTATATATGTAGAATATAGTATATTATATTTATAGTCAAAGTCGAAGTGAAAATATCAGTAAATCATAAAAGTCTTTTAATATTATTTGAAATTGTTTCTTATGTAGACAAGTCGTATATCAACAAGCTGTTTTGTCAAATATTTAGCAAAAAAAATGTATACCTACAAAAAACTAAAATCTATTATATGCCTGTGCCGATCTACCATCACCGTAGTTCCAAGTGGTTTTTAACCAAGATTGCACGAGGAAGGTTGTAAGTCTACAAATTTTACCTAACAATAAGGTGAGTATACCAAGATGCCTATGAGTCAGACTCAGTGCTCAATTACCTAATATTGTTACCTGTTTATTATTGTGTTGTAACCTGTTCATTATTAGTATCAACTAAAATATTTATAGAAGGTAGTACATTACATATTCACTTCGATCCTTTCGACCGACACACGTTTTTAATTTATTTAACGTACTTTTATTAGGCCAGTGCCTACGTAATGTGAAACACATCCATTATTCACTTTTGTAAAGGCCCATTAGCATGAATTAATTTATGCTAGCCCTGTATGATTAATTATATTTCTAGCATCTTCAATGTTTAAAGTGAAAAATTCAATATGTCTTAAATATTTAAATGATTTAAGTGGCTTAATATTTGTGAAGTACGATAGTATTTTGTTTACCCGATGTCTTGAGCAAATTGCCCCGAATGTGTTCATGGGTAGGTTCGAGCGATGTGGGCTTCATGCTTTGTTCTCTATTTCGTTAGTCTTTTATGCTTGTACCATGAAAATGTATATTAGATTAGATGGCGGTAAAGCGATTTCGTTAATCAACGCGCGGATTACGAAATAAATTATGGCTATCGATTGATAAATAATTAACTTTTAAAAAATATGATTGTTTTCAATGTGCCTGTTCGATGTTATTCAAAGTGTAACAAAACTCTTTTCTTAATCTTTAATTTTCACCTTTAGACAGAAAAAATAATTCCAAATCGGTTCATAAATAAGGGAGTTCTGGGATGAGATGAATGAAAACCTCCGCCAAAGTCAGTTAAAATTAAACTAAAAGGAGCTTGGGATGTTTACCAAGTTCATCTTTTTTTACGGAAGACGAGCAGACCTCACCTGCGACTGCGTCTGCAACTCAGGAGTCACAAGCGGCCTTTGAGGAAGCAGTACGCTCTTTTTTGAAGTATCGGTCCGGAAATACCGCAGATGATAACTTGTTCCACAGGTTGGTAGTGGAAGACAAAAAGTGTCAAAAGCGCACAGTGGTGAAGTGCCAATGATCCAAATGGTGGGTATTAGTCTGAACAATTCCTCGGAGCACTCACTATGATATATACGATAGAGAATGCAGAATACTGGTGTTCAGCACACCGCGCTACTTCGATGCCAATTTGACCTTACCCTCTAAATGACCGCGAAACTGGACTTCGCTCGATATGTCGATGGCTTAGGCAGTTAAGAAGGTGCTCCCAAACTGAGGCGATACGACTTTTTTGCTGTAAACGCGCAAATCTGTCTTTTTGGGTTAAAATGGACTAGATTTAGTCGACCATAATCTGAAACCTTTCAATTTCGACACAAGTTTGTTTCGACTCTTCATGGCATGGCTCACGCAAAACCGATCACGCAGGGAGATCTATTCACGATTTCGTCCTGACCTATGGCTTGTCACAGCTGGTATCAACGCCCACGCGAGTCCCAGATGTGGAAAGTCATGAGCCTGTTGGCCCTTCTGCAGAACTCTGATCCGTACGGTTACAAAGTCACCGTAGAGGCCCCACTTGGCTCCCCGGATAATTGTCTAATATGGAGTACGGTGCCACTTATGTACTCGCCGCAACCGCGAGTTGCAGACTGCCGCCGTGTATGGCGCTATAGGTCAGCGGCCTGGGATGTGATGCGCTCTTTCTTTGCGTTCTACCCATGAAGGCAGGTTTGTTTCTTACCGGATGATCCCAACTTCTTTGCCAATTCTGTCACTGATGTAAATCTTCAGGGCATGGAACTATTCGTTCCATCTACATTCATACCCATCGGTGGCAGATCCAACCCTTGGTTTAACAAATCATGCAAAACGGCATCCTATCGAAAGCAGGAATGTTACCAAACATGGGCTCTGCTAGGGTGTCAGGTGAGCCCATCTGTCACCCTAGCAGAAGCAGGCCGGGGTGGCGGCGAGCGCGTAGACGAGCCCCCCTGTGTGGGAACCCTCACACAGGGGGGCTCGTCTACCCGCCGTAGATGGCCCGAGGTACGTCGGGGCAGGAACCCCCACACAGGGGGGCTCGTCTACCCGCCGTAGATGGCCCGAGGTACGTCGGGGCACCAGGGATTTCCTTTCTAGGGTACACCTGGTTCCCTGAGACGGTGTGCGGTTTTATTCGGTTCGAGTCCGACATTGCCACCGGTAAGTGGTATCCGAGGGGATTGCCGCACAGAAAAAAAAGGTATGTCATTGTAAATTGTTTAGTAATTAGTAAGTTTTCAAACTCGGAAAGTAAATCCGAATATTCACTCCTACATCAAAACTCATTTATCATTTTCAATTTCTCATAGATCACAGAATATTTAATTACCTATAATTATGTATTCCTTATATTGCACCTCGACCACTACAATTGTAGCTTTAATACACACTAAGAAAAACTTGTATAGGTACTTGAATAAAGATTATTATTATTATAAATATCTAGCATGTGTTTAAAAACCATATGCGTTTGTCTTTTTTTTACTAAGTATTATGCACGAGAGTTTGGTACCTATGAGAAGCAGTGTTGAATTATTATTTTTTGCAAATATTAGGTATTTATTTTTTTAGCAGTGTCCATCATTTAGCTCCCACCGTGCTAATACTTGGGCTTCAATGTCCACTTTATGAGCTTAAGAGTTTTTGGTGTTATGCTTTCATAGATCAATTCTTGAAGAAGGTTTTAATGTTATTTAAGATCACGATACGATTCTTGGGTACAGAGTGGGCCCACAAAAAACAGCTAGTACAGTATTAAAAATAAATAAAACTCATAACTTTTAGGCTATGTGTATTTGCTCGTCTTAATCGAGAATATACTTAAATTATTGTGCATAAATAGGAAAACGTTATTTACATACATCAAACTGAAATGTACATAACTAAATCGTATATGTACATAACTAAATCATAGGATGCAATGACGGCAGCCAACTAAAATTCGGTACGAAAAATAATAAACACCACACTTAGCTTAACAAACAATTCTGAAAAACGCGTATTTATCATTCCAGTCTAATATAAATGTTTTACATTCATTCAAGACAGGACTTGCAAGATAAATATTAGATACAATACAAGGGCAATGGTGCTATTATTTTTCCCATCAAAAATTTATTAAACATTTGTTTAAGTATACATTCATTCATATTGTTCCTTACAAAAAATAAATCAATATAAACCTCAAAATAAATAAAAATACAACCCATTTCAATAATTTGTAGCTCTAAACTGCCATTACTACTTTTTCAACTATTGGGGTGAGTTTTTTTTTATTTATATGGAACAACCCTTCGATTAGGCACCCCTCGTTTATAACAAATTAAATATTGAATCTTTTTGTAAACGTGAGAAAAAACATGATTGAATTGTGAGCCTCGTCTCTTTATGAAGTCGGTTAAAACGAAAATACTACACATCGTTTAATATAAAATTTCTATCGGCTGTTGCCTTGCATTCGAAGTTTTACTTGCACACACACATTCTTTACATGAGGAACATTTAAATAATAAATGTCGAAGACATAGATTGTTAGTCTAGAGACAATTACTGTTAGCTAACTCAAAGGCGGTTACCCTAATACAATTTGTACTAATTAAAAGCCGTCTTTTAGTTAGCGGACCGCAGACCGTGACCTCAGACCTTAATGTGCAATCTTCGTACAACATTCATACAATGACTATTATTTACAACGCTACAACTTAACCTACTAGTGAATTGTGCACAAGCGCTCGTAATGAGGTAATAACTTACAATGTGTAACTGGTGACTAATTGACTATTTAAATATCATTTACAATTAAATAACAAAAAAATATTACCCAAAACCTAAGGTAACAAAATTGTCATGGATTTCGACTTGCATATAAACTTACGAACGCGCGCACAAATATTACCGATAACATACATAAAATATATTTGTTTAGAATAACGTATTTATGAAAATAGTACAGGTGTATGTAACATCAATTTAAATGTTAGTTGTATGACAGAAAATACAAAAATGGATTAAGAGCTTAGTAAATCATTTCTATTAACCTTTTGCAGCTCATTTCTGTTAACGTTTTCTAAGAAAATATAAACAATAGATATTAATGTACCTTTATAATAATTATTTTTTATTGCATTATTATCAAAATAAATAGTTTGGTGTAATTGCCAATATCTGTTAACGCGTCTGTAAGAGCGGGCACGTTATTCGTACCCGTTAAAATATAATAAATTTATTTTATGTAAAATAAGTGGGAATTAATCGATACTCGAATTAGTATCATGAAAATGCCTCATAAATTTTACAAGGCTATAAACGGAATCACCCGGCGGCTTAACTACGGTTATTATATTACCACTCCGCTTCTTGAAATAATTTTCGTCGTTTGATCTTTAGGCTTCTCGTTATCTGAGTCTAAGTTAAGTTTGGATGTCTGTATCTGTTTCCACGTGTCGCCCAGGGCTTTACTGAAGTGGTCGTCGACGCCACCCTTGCTCGTCTGTACTTTTTCGCTGTCTTTTAACCTCGAAGTTTGTATTTGCCTCCAGGTATCACCAAGAGCTTTCGCAAAGTGATCATCTACTGACATACTGGCATCGTCAACTTCCATAGCGATGATTTTAGCTGGTTTTGGTACTTCTTCAGTCTTGAACTGAATAGGGCTGCTCGCACGGTCTTTCATGTTGGGTTTTGGTAACGGTTGTGTTACTTCGGGATTATTTTTCTTGAATAAGTTCATATAATCATCGCCCAGTGAGCGTCGGAAATGTTCGTCGATCACGGGATCGCACATCGACATGGAACCTGATAAAGAATAAACAAGTGATATAAATAGTCAACTCAAACAAACTTGCAGACAGATTTTAGTAGGAGAGAGTTTCAGGAGAAGAAGAGATATCTTACCAGGTGGCGTGTCACTCTTAGTAATGACTGAAGGCCTTGTGTATGGTGGTGGTGCAGGCCGTGAGCGTAGTCGCATATCTATAGGGGCCTCATTCTTAGCGCCTGGATATTCGGGCGGCGCCCCTGTAACAACAAAACCGTTCAATAAGTCTACAACTTTTACAAACAGGTTGGAAAACCAATCTTATAAAATACCCCGACATTAGCCTTGGCACTCTCCAACAAATACATCAATCATGGTATGACTTGTTTACCGGGCCGGAATATAACCCTTTTATATATTTATCACTTAGAGAGAGTTGCGACCTATCATTTGGAGTGTATTGATTGCTTTGACAATGCTCGCAATATAGATTCAATTAAGAATATGCAAGTGAATTGTGATATTATTCTTTTCAAAAATGTTAACATAACACTTGAAATATAAATTTCTTAGTGTCTCAATACTATATTCGAAGGCGTTATGCCCTTGCTAGCAAAGTTATAGATTTCAACTTTTCAACTAACATATTTAAATATCTATTACACTTTGTTAAGATTTTATATATATTGATTTTACATAACTCGATTGCAAGAAAAAGCTCCTTGGCATTAACTCTTGTAGCGCTAGGCAAGTTAACTTTGTGAATTTATAGTGAACTAGCGATCCACCACATCTTCGCACGAGTGCAACGTAGTTACTAATACTACTAATGTGGTGTGGTGTGGAGTAATTAATTATACTATTAATATGATAAGAATATACTACAAACAAATCTTTCGATGCAATATTTATGGGCCCCGCTCCGCTCCTGCCATCTAGGACGTACATCCCGTTACGGCGAAGGCCGCTTTGCGCCCGCCTTTAAATCTCTGATAATCTACTAAAATATTTATTTTAATGCACAACGTATCTACCGTAGTTATTTGGATAAAGAATAATACTGTATTGTTCAAAATAGCTTAGTAAATTACTCTTTATTTTTAATGAGGAGGTTTTCAATTCGGATGTTTATATGTATATTTCTTTAACCGACTTCAAAAAAGGAGGAGGTTCTATTTATGTGTGTTATATATAGGCGGATTTGCAAAATTATTTTTTGTTCGAAAGGGGTTTATTCCAAAATGCTCCCATTTAAATTTCATATAGATCTGACGATGAGTTTCAAAAAATTACAACAAATCAACTGCGATTGCTATTAAGTTTTTAGTGCTCTTTGTTAGTATTATTTCAAATCGGTTTAACTTTTTTTTAAATGATTTATCTTGTTTCTAATATGTAAAAGACAAAAATCGTTATTGTTGGTTATCCTTAGGAGATAGACATATACCATCGCGAACATTTTGTAGATCTTTTAACGATATATAATTCCGTAGTACATTATTTTGTTCTATCTCGTAAGCTTTTGGCCAGCGTTTGCAATGTAAGCACACAAAAACATGTTTTTACGATTTCACATTACAAATCTTTGAAAGTATGATATGAACATTTGATATATTGAAATGAAACCATGAAACAGAGAATCCCGCTTCTTGAATCACTCTTTCTATTGGTGAAAAAACCTATAAAATCCGTTCCGTAGTTTGAAATATCTAAGCGTACGAGAAAAAAAAGCGACTACATTTTATACCATGTAAATAGTTTACTTGTTAATTCGTCAAACACTTTGAAGTATTAACTAATGCAAGGATCAAAAGAATTAGAACAAAGCAATTGTTTTGTAACTGTATACAATAATGAGTTCTCTCTCAAAGGTGTGGTTTCTTTTAAAGAGAAACATTTTATTGTATGGAGTACAAACCTGACTTATATTATTTACCAAAGCGAATTTAGAATAATAGAATAGAATAAACTTTAATGTACACTTTTTTCACAAAAATACTCTGTAAATGACAAATGACGCTACAGTCTTATCGCTACAGAGCAACCTTTGGATGGATCAATTGAAAGTAAATAGATGAATTCTCCGGTACTTTTGGTGAAAAAGTTTAAAAGAATAATAAAATATTTATACAGCATACATTTGAAATCGATAAAAAGTAATTAATAAAAATATGACAAACATGCCGTCACTTTTACCAACACATATTTATATACAGAAAAGTACATATAGTCTGTGCACTAGACATGTCTATTATTGCATCTTTTAAATCATAATTCATATGATAAAATGATTGGTTTTAGTCACAGCGATTTAAACGGTGATTGTGATTTGATCATAGGCAAAGATTAATGCCATTAGAATCAACCAAAATTCATTTAATCAAGATTGAAAAAAGGAGAGAATGAAGAGTGGTTTTGTAAATTAATTAAAGGTATGGCATATATGATTTATAAATCATATCATTTATCACATGTTATTTTTATTTTAGTCCATCTGTTGTAAACATATACGCATAGATAATATAAATAAATACATACATAAACACATATCAATTACAGAGGAATACAGCAGTTACAATACGTTTTAAGCAAAGAACTCAGGTCAAGGATTAGGTCAGATATACATTATAGCCTTTGACTATTTTCTTTAATCCAGGCATAGTTATGGCTTGTTATATAATGTATATATGAGAAGATCCACTTGGTAGTATTACCCAGGTTGACATTCGTAGGCGAAATTTGATTAGCAAGAATTTATACGGAATCAGAACTTCTTAAAGTTTTATATTGGCTTCGCTTTGTGATTTTATTACAGCGCTGGATTAGTTTTAGAACTTTGTTATTTAAGGTGCCTTGAGGGTCTTCTGATCAAGCCATTTGTATTGTTATATAGGGAAGAAAATATATTTTTTGATAAATATAAGTGTATTGGTTCTATTAATCTATAACTTTGTAGGAGGTGCCCATACTTTTTAAGGATCAACAAAAACCGTACTGTAAAAATTAAATTATAACAGTGTGAGTAAAACGCATCTATCATACTACGATCTATAAGCTGCATACTTTCTATTTTTATACTAATTAAGTAAGTATAAATCGTACAAAAACCCGTTGTAATGTTCTTATCCATTAATACCACCTATCTACCATGTATGGTCTGAGTAAATACCTAGACTAGTATGAACACAAGGTGTGGTTATTAATTATTAATATATAAATATCGTAATACTTTTAAAATCTATAAAACATCAATAATTCGTTAAATTTGACCTGAATAATTTGTTGAATTTAATTTGTTTTGAGTTCAACTGAACATTAACTATCTTTATAGAATTCCACATGAAATTATAATCCATACTACGAAAGATCAGCATCTTTTCAACCCCAAAAACTGATTTCCTAATGATGTTTCTGTTAGATGTATTTAGAAGACAAAAAGCATTCTTACGTTTTCCATTTATAGCTAAATTTGCTGGCGCATCATCCGCTTCATCAGAAAGTTCCCCTTCGCTGTGAGGTTGCGCGCGCGCCACTGACGCCACGCTGCGCCGTTCATTGAATGATTGCGACCGCAGCGCCATCTTACCGTTCTCCCTGGAAGGAACATTTAATTTATGGTAATTAAATCGGAAGATGCAATCTGTTTTATTTTGTGTTTGGGATGGAATGCCATTCGGCTCGGCTACTGTTCTTTAGTATTCGTTCACGACATTCTAATAATCTTATAACACGAATAAAAAAAACTTTGGTATTGAGGCACAAACGGAAATTTAACTGCCTACTTAAAAAACATTACACTGTGTAAATATTAATCTTTCGACAACTTAGCTCTTAAGAAACCATTGTCCTTTAAAAAAATAAATCTAAAATCAGAAAGTATTTAAAAAATAATGTCCTGAGACACTGATCAAATATTTACCTAGGCCGGTAATCAGGTAAACGAGTAGACCGTCTTTCTCTGCGCCATTTGCCAGTCAGCTCTTTCGGCTGCGCTCGCGGTGTTTCCGGAGATAGGGTGCGATCGCCTTCAGACTCACCGCTTGATGCAGTGCTGGGAGTCTCTGAAATGAGTACTGACATGACTACCTTCTATAATTAAGAATAAATGCCTTAGAAACACAATGCTTCAATATGAAATGCATACAATTACTATTTTGACATTGAAATTCGTCATCAATGTGAGTGAAAGTCACTTTGCCTAATAATTGGTTTGTACAAGAATATGTTATTAATTTACTGCATAAAACACCGTATACCTATGGCAAAAGGCAGAGGGGAAATGTGTACAAGTATAATAAACCAATTGTTATATATGTATATCTAAAATTCATTTCTTATTTTTTTTACGATACAAATTGTTGTGTTCATATAATAAAGTTGAGATAACAAAAGTTTAAAAATGCCGCTGAACTTTTGGAGTATTTCTTAAAGGTAGAATAAGTTCATCTTAATTTTAGGACTAACATAATTATTGGACCCTCGTCGTCGCTAATGGGTATTGGATTTCCCGCCTTTGCAGCCAAGTTATAATAGGATAGTCTGACACAAACTGAACTTAATACTGTAGGTAACTGAACTCAAAGTAGGAACTGACAACCATTTTACAGTTCGAGGCATCATCACCTTAGCCCTATTAATGCAACCTTTAAAAACAAATCCTTGAAAATTCTAAAACATTATATTAAATTTAAAATTACATTTAAATAATAAATATAATATATTATTTATTTTACTTAGATAACATAATTATACCATAATGGATCAAAATACCTTTTTGGGGGGAAGCAACCCACGGCTGCCAGAGGGGCACATTAAACTTTGGAGACTGCGGAGGATCCATCGAAAGGAAATTCAGATTACTTAACGAAGTCCGCGCTAAGAGTAATAGATAGTGCGGCAGTTCCATCATCACAGCAAACAGATAAACAAACACTAATAATTAAACGTAGTCACATGTCCACACTATAAATCTCAAAGAAATGTCACTTGAGATAAACAAAATATCACAACACTTAACCAACAGTTCCAGGACAAACGATTCTTTAGCATATGCTAAGACGATAGTGTAGACAAGGTTTTGGCGTCCCGGCACAGGTAATACTGAAGGCCGACTGAATAAAAAATGAACTGGAAGAGATTACATTGGAATAAATAAATGAGATGAACAAAAAACAAACCGAAAAGGAAAAAGAGCATCACGCTACATCCACGCGGCCGGACGTTGCGGCGCTTCCTTCGAACCTTCCATGCACAGGATGTTAGTGGATCGACAGGTTTGGTTGCATAGCACACGCAGAGATTACTGCCGACCCGCACCTTATCTTATAAACCTGAATATAGACAGTTTTATGGGCGCGCGGAATGAGAAACCAAACCAAATAAGTAAGATAGCTTTAGATGCATATTTCAATATAATAGAATGTTGCAATTAAGCGAGCCTACCCACCCATTGGGTGACAACACAATCATCTTCATGACAATTTAATATCATCACATTTGAATAACACATAGTCAAAATATGAAATACTACGTTTAATTAACTGTTTTTTTTGTATAAGTATTAGGTACTTTCAATGCAGGAAAAAGAGAGACCTTTAAATTTTAACAAAATAAGATAAATTCCATTTTCTTTGAAACAAAGATACAAAAATCTAAGAAAAGGTATAAAAAAATTAAATAAAAAGATAAACTATGACACAAGATCGCAGTGTTTGATTTCGGTTGTGGCATGTGTCGCGTCCAACCCATGTGTAGTTAGTAGTGGTCTTTGTTAGATGAAAAAAAATACAGACGAATTGAGAACCTCCTCTTTTGTGTTTTGGAAGTCGGTTAAAAAGACGTTGAGACACTAATAATACTTTACTGTTTGTCTCTACTTATTTACTGCAATAATAATGATATATCTAACATGATTCTATATATACGAATTACAAACTTGCATCAAGTAATATAATACTTATCTATTATTACGAGGCTATATCTCTCATAACTCTATCTATCTGAAATCTAAGGTAAGTGTGTAGGTGTACGAAAGTATGTATGGTGGACGTGACACAACCAACACGGTCACACAACAACTGATTGCAAGAGGCAAAGGTAAAAGAATTCAGATCAAATTGGGCCATCTGTTGCTATCACTAAACAAAAGAATTGATGACATCTTAAAATTGACAAGTCAATGACAACTTCGCGATGTCAAGCGAAATATTTGTTTCGTAAATTTAATCGGTAGCCTTATGATCTTAATTCGTCAATAACCTTACGATTTAAGAATATGTGCATTGAAATGATATAATTATGACACTGATCATCATGATCAGAGATCAGATTTTTTGATAATAAAAGTTTAATGTGACCAATTTAATGAAGACTTATTGTTTTTTCAATAATAAAAATATAAGAACATCCTGTAGTTAAAACACATCAACCTGTTCGGTCCATTCATGAAAGTGCGTGCGCGCAGGGCGCGGGGATTAATGAACCCCCTTACTCCACTCTCTTCCTTCTCATCTACAGCCTTATCTGCCAAATCTATTTTAAAACTATACTGTATTCTGCAGTTCTTAAAGTTTAAACTCATTTCTATACCAAGATGCGGTTGTTTCTAAAGCATCAAAATTTAAAATGAACGCTATTTTGTGTGTCACAGTGTTCTGTTTCGCTTGCCAATTTTAATGTTGATATGTTAACTTCAAAATACGGTGGTTGTATCCTTGGAAGGTTGTTTTATTTTTGTATGAGGTTTGCGGGGTGGAGCGAGGGTGGGGAGCTGTGAGAAGTTGCCGCATCTCTGCAGGTCCGTATAGGCATTAACTTTTTTATTATTGTCTAATAGACAGCGACGAGCAAAGGTACACCGACAGGTAGAGTTTGGCGCCGTGCTTTAATTATGTTTGAGGACTTCGCCGAATAGAAATGGTAAATTAATATTAGAATTAACACGGCTATTATGGAACACGATAGTTAAAAGTAAAGATTCTTCTGTCCCTTAGAAATCTTCTTGCTTGTTTGCTACTGTGACGGCAAAGTCAAAAGGTGATGTTTGATGTAGTAGTAGCGCTGATGTGACAAAACCCTATAATAAGATGTCTTATCAACGAGGTTGTTTTATATATATGGTGGTATAAACTTGCGAAATGCGCCTTTGACGATAAGCAAAATAAGACAAATAAAAATATTGAATGGGTAATTCATCGTACACGCAAACTGAATACACTCATACTAGGGATATCGTCTATTATAAATTCGTAAGATCTGCGAAAAATATGCGCACGTTATGTAGCAATTCGTGCTACTTTTTATTGTTACTGATATTGGTTGGCACCGTCACGTGTCAGGCCAGGAGCCAGAAAACGTGTTCCGGCCAAAATGTTCTGAATACAAGAACTGTTACAATAGAGAACTAAACTCGATTTAACTTTATATGTACCTAGGTAATAAAAAGGTAAATTATTATAAAATATAAATAAATTCCTTAATACATATGAAATACAAACAACGTAAGTTACAGGCCCAGTTATGTATTTCATTTTTAGGATAGCTTATAGATAGGTATTTTGAAACAGAAGAAGCATAGAGCAACATAGCCCACTGGCGGACCTAGAAGTATAATAAGAAATGGTAAGTATTTATATAAGAATCTAACTACGCATAAATTAATTCATTAACCACTATTGAAATATAAACATTGCCGATATTTGTAGAAAAAATAATCGTTATCAAATAATTCACGCGTGTTTGGATACAAACCAGTTTACGCTAGATATCTTATATGATTAATAATAATCTATACGATTAATATTGTAATAAACACTATTAGTACATATTCTCTATTCTGAGCTTCTAAGTACATAATCTCAGTTTTGTGGTACTGAATATTATTAGTGCTTAATCTAGATGAAGGATATTACACATACTCCTATACTATACACAGTTGTAGAGTGTTTTCCTGTCTACTCTAAAGGAAATGTAGCTCAATGCACATATACTGTCGCGCAATACCTACTAGAATGTTTAGGCTCGAGTGTCCTGGCACGTTTCCCGCCTTTTTATATCCTGGCGGATATGGACGCGAAGGTCTCTAACCAGACTTGCGCGATCCGCGGGGAGAGGGCGGGGAAGACCAGGACGAGCTCGAAATGCGGCGGAACGGTTACTGACAGAACAGCCGCTGAAAGCGCGCCAACGCGCTGTCAGTGCCGTTCTGCCTAACCTCGAAGCTTGGGTAGGTAGGGAGAGAGGTCGCGTCACCTACCGACTGACGCAGGTACTCACTGGGCATAGTTGCTTTGGTAAGCCTGAATCGAAATTGGACGCGAGGAGACGGCACAACGCCAGCACTGCGTAGCCGACTGGACGCGAGGTCCTAGCCGACCAAATCGGACGAGACCTGTCCCCGCCAGCAATCATAGCTGCCATGCTGGCGGGTGAGGAGGGCTGGGGCGCAGTAGTCTCTTCCTGTGAGGCTGTAATGCTCCAGAAATAGACCACTGAACGGGATCGGGAGAGGGCCGATCCCGAGCGTAGAGAACATCGGAGGCGATAACAGCCGCCTTCTGGGCTGCGGGCAGATTGATTACTGCGGTAAGCGGCATGGGGGCGGCTTGATCGCACCAAAATGCGATCGGGCTCCTAGATTAAGTGATAATCGGGGGAAAGCTTCTGACTTCCCTCGGGATACGGCCTAGTGGCGGGCCTGAAATTGCATGGTCTGGGTCCTCCTCAGAGTAGAGCGCTTGAGGCCAGCCGTCGGAGTGGTTTTTGTGGAGACACCTCATACTCCTGGTTTTCCTCCCAGTCACCAAAAAAAAGGCTCTAGTGAACATTATATGTATTATCTTAGGCGCGTTGGTAGGACACTCAACGTTTCTTTTCTTGCTTCCTCATGCATTTATACGTAATTATTGTTTATTGTTCATGAGCAAAAAGTCCCTAAAGTAAAAGACTGCGGATTGGCAAGGTAGGACGCTACTAGATGGACTGACAACCTTAAGAAGATAGCTGGGATCGGCTGCATATGGCAGGCGGAGGATAGGTTGCTATGGCGCACATTGGAAGAGGC